GCCGGGTAGCCTAGGCACTGCTGGAGTCACTGTCCTGATTTCCTAAAGCTGCTCTGAGAAGTTCTGAGGGAAGGAAAGCATGATCTCCTAGAAGGAAATTGGAGAGTGGAAATTTCTAATTTGGGGGACCATGGTTTCTTTTTTTCTTTTTTAAACTTTTTATTGATCCTTTGTGGATTTCACATCGTGCATCCTGATGCCACTCATCTCCCTGTCCCTTTGCCTCTACCCTCTGCCCTTGATAGCTGCCCTGCCTCAGAACAAAATTTAAAAGTAAGACAAAACAACAAACAAACAAACCCCAAGTAAAACAAATCTCGTCCTGGAAGCTGTAGTGTGGCCCAGTGAGTCACACAGATACCCTGTAGTCCATACGTCTTGTAAGTGTTCATTGCAATGAGTTATTGGTCAGGTTCGAGGCCTCTGGCCTCTGCTACAGCCTCGATACTGCATCCTCACTGGGACTCCTCTCGGATATCCTGTTGTTGCGTTGTGTCATGGAGATCCTGCAGCTTTGGATTAATAGGTTTGGGGGACCGTGGATTCTATGCCCAATGCTGGACAAGCTTTATTTTTTGACTACCTAGAAGTCATTCACCCCAATTCCAGTAACAGGGTCTTAGGGATCCACCCTTCTACCTACTGGAAAGCTAAGAGGAAGAGGTGAAGCCTGCCTTCTTGAACTGCAGAGATGGACAGGTGACCCAGGCCTAAGACAACACAGGACCTCCTGTTCTCATTGCCAGTGGCTGGTTGAGGGATCTGTCCCTGAGCCTCAGTGGGACTTCTGTGTGAGCATTTCCAAAAGAGCCGTGCTTCTCCATGCTGGGCTTGTACCTGCTTTCTGCTGTCTCCATGTTCCTAACAGAGAGGTCAGAGCTGCTGGAGGTGCAGCTCCGTGCTAGAGGGATTTCATGCTAGCTCACTGGACCAAGAATCGCCAGACGGGAGACGGGTACTTACTGCCTCACAGTTCCAAATCGAGGTAGGAATCCTCCTGCTGACCCTCTCAGCCAGGGGTGGGGAGATGGCCCAGTCGGTAAAGTACCTGCTGTACAAGCAATGGACCCGAGCTTGGATCCCTGACGCCTGTGTGTAACTAAGGTGTGGCAGCATATTGCAGAGGTGTGACAGTCATTGAAAGGCTGAGTGGGCATGGCAGCTTACCTATAATTCCAGCACTCAGAAGGTGGAGATGGGGAGCCCTCAGAGCTAGACAGACTAGCCATTCAGAAACTCTGGGTTCACCTGAAAGACCCTGTCTCAATGAATAAGATGGAGAGCATTGGAGGGAGACCCCCAGGGTCAATCTTGGACCTTCACAGGCATGTGAACACATACACGTACATGCATGCACATACAACACACTCGAAAAACAGGAGAGTGCATTTAAAGTAATAATGGGAGGAAACAAAAGCTCCTCGTGCGCCTCATTTAATTCACACTGTTCAAAATCCAGGTGACACAGCTCTCCTGGAGTGACAGGAGAGACTGAGAATGGCGAGTGTGCCCGAAGGTACTGAAACCAAGAGACAGAGAACAGCTGGGCACAGGGCTGGGACACTTGAATCAGTCATTCCTGGTGGGAGCCAGCCTCTGGAGTTTGCTGTGCCCTGGAGTCTACCTGCTTTACTTGCTGTTGTTGTTTATATTTATTTATTTATTTATTTATTTATTTATTTATTTATTTATTTATTTATTTATTTATTTGTGTGTGTGTGTGTCTGTGTGTGCCACTGCTAAAGTGTGGCTGTCAGGTGGTAGTGTCAGGTAGGCTGTTTTTCTATAGTATAGGTTGGTGGAGGAGGATTGAACCCATTTCATTAAGCTGAGCAGGAGGTGGTTTTCCCAGCTGAACCTTCTCGACTGCCTATTGGGTGACATTTTCTCCCATTGCCTGAAGCAGTCCAAGACAGCAGTTTTTTTTTTGTTTTTTTTTTTGTTTTTTTTTTGTCATAGAGGAGGGTCACTACCCTCTTACCACATTCCCAAAGGAAGAGGGAGAAGGAACTAGAGCCAGGATCCAGCCACTTGAATGGCAGGCCATCCAAGAGGTCCTGCCCTCTAGAGCTAGGCCAGCGCACCCCGTGCACAGGAAATGTCTGCAGCCACAGAAGCTGGCATTAACTGGCACTCAGGAGATATTTGCTGAATGGAAAGCAGCAGGAAAGTTATAACAAATCATACTTTACATGCAAATTTTTGGGAATATTTTCAGGGAAATACTTAATGTGTGAACAGCTAATCTGCATTTCCATGTCCTGACAGATGGCCCATATTAACAGAGTTCTGAGTATAGTAAAAATAAATAAATAAATAAAAGAAGAAAGAAAGAAAAGGAAGGGAAAAAGAAGGAAACCTACAACTATTCATGGAGTGGGTACTGTGATCGAGGCTGCACAAAGCAGTGTGCTCTCCGACTCTCCCTCTTATTGTTAAAAATAAAAAAAGACAACCTGGAGACATTCCCATCTGTCAAAAAGGACCCCAAAAGTTGTCCAGAGGAAGAAAATGACCCTCGGGACTTGCATGGGTGGAGCAGAGCTTTTTTCTCGGGAGATGCTCTAGGTCCCAAATGTCTAATGCCGCACTCTCAAAATGAACCAGGGACAAGTGCATCAGCACCTGTGGGACTGTTGATCAAAAATGCAGTCTCCTCTCAGACTACATTTGCAGAATCAGAACTTCTATGGTCAGGGCCCTGGAATCTGCATTCAAATCATCTTCTCAGAGGTTGAAAACCTGTACCTGGTACTATCAATTCGCGTGCCCATGGGTCTCCCCAGTGCTTGGGGACACTGAGCACAGCCCCATGGGAGGTGGCATTTTGAAGAAAGAAGCCTTGTTCTTAGGCTCAGAGGCTGGAGGAGGCCAGGTTCTGGTGAATTGGCATCACCTTCCAGGGCCAGTTTCAGGCCATGGTAGAGGTGAGGGCATGCCACTGGATTTTGTGTGGGAGCATTGCAATGCCCAGAGCTTTATACCCAGACCCAACATAGGTTGTAGCTGATGAACCTGGCAGACTCCTGGGGCTTTGCTACTGTCTAGATGATACCACAGTCTAGAACTAATTATGCACATCTTATGTGGCCCTGGAGGGTTTCATTTGGAAGGGATATTGCTTAACAGACTATTGGCCGTTAATCCCCTCAGGGTGAAGAGAATGACCCCACCCACCTCTTGGAGCATTTGCAGCTTCCCGAAGCCTCTGTCATAACAAGGCACCCTTCAGACTAAGGGCTGACCTTCCCTCTGCTGCCTTCCTCAGAAGGGGTCTTCCCCAGTCTTCAACCATGGGACTTCAGCACACTTGATCTTGGGGCTAGAGTCAATTTGCTTAGGCATATTTGTGTCCCTATGCCCTGACCACAATAATTGGCCCAGGGGTGGACAGCGACTTCAGCATTGTGAGCAGAGTGACCTTCGTGACTAGGAATTTTCAGTCATAGAGCCTATTTGGTGGCGAGGAACGAGGAAGCATGAGGTCCCAGGCACTCTGGGCAGGCTTCCTATGGCTTCCCAAGGACAGCATGGCCAAACATGGGGCCAACAGGAAGAAACAGCCAAAAACGGAGGTCAGAAAGACAAAGGCCTGAAGGTATCTCTGAGGCTTCGCTAAATATTTTCCTGAAGTCTTATTCACTCCCGAAGTGAGCAGGGTTTTGTCCCATAAATACAAATGGTTGGTGTTGCTAAACTCAGTTTGACTCAGAGTTTTGTTACCTGGTACTCAACATGTCACAAGACACGCCCCATCCTCTTTGACGCCTCTCCCCCCTGCTCTTCCCCTGGAAGCAAATATTAAATAACCACCCAGAGAGCACACTGAGACCAGTGGTGGGTGATCTAGATTCGCAGCTTGAGACGCCATGCTCCAAGAATATTGATTCATGGATCAATGTCAGTCCGGAGGAAGCCCTGTCCCGTTCAACATCTTAATCAATGACTTGGATGAAATGGGAGACATGGTTAGCAAGTCTCAGATGACATGAGCTGGAGGAAATGCTAATATGACAGATGGCAGAATCCAGATTCAAAATTATTTTGACTGATGGAACAGTAATAAGGAGAAATACAAACTCTTGCATTCGACTCAAAAGATCAATCTGTATGAGCGGGGTACTGGGGAGACCTGGCTCAGCAGTTGTCCTAACATCAAAGGACTTGAAGTTGACCATGCAGGCTCATATGGAGTTAAACACTGGGGCAATTAGTAGCAGTTATTCAGGTTTCAAATATTTATGAAGTGACTTGGAGAAGGAAGAGTACCTTTGCCTCCACTTCCCCAGTAGGACAAAGAAGTAGACTTTTCTAGGAAGCAGTTCCTAGATCCTAACACTTCCAATAGCAGGATGAGCTACATTCCAACATTGTGACTGTTGACTAATGACATCAGAATATGACAGACAAGATTCCATTGTGGGGACTTTCTTATTTAAAGTACAGACTTTTAAAGTGATTCAAGGCAGTGCACACAGCAGCAGCCTAAGAAAGCAGCCCAGCTCAACCCCCTTGGAAGGTTGCTGCGATCTCCTACAGAGGGGCCACATCTCCAAGGAATCCCCAGACCGCATCTGTGCTTGGGGCTCTCAGCCCCATTCTATCTTCTTGTCTGGTTGTAGCTCCTCCTCTGCTCTCTCCTTCCTGGTCCCTCTGGTGCCCCGGGTCTACGCCTGCCTCCAGACGTGGCCCCTTTGCTGACTCCCATCTCCTCTCTTCACAGAGGCCTCTCCACAGTCAGAGCATGCCATAACCAGGATCCTTCCCTAAGGCTGCCCTTGACCCCCTACTCCTTCCTGGCCTCTGCAGGCCTCCAGAGCCAGTCTTATGGGCTCTTTTCTTTCCTCTGAACACCCCATTTTACTTGCTAGCCCAGAGAGATGGCGAAGGTGGGTGTGACCTTATTTTATCTTACAAACTTAGAATGTGGTTTTAACAAGTTTTTAAGCAAAGTTTCACTGAATCCACTGCTTGTAGATGCACACACATGCTGTACTCACATGATTCTCCATGAAGAGGTCCACCTCTTTCAGAAGTCTCTCCTGGCAGTCAGGGTGGGTGGCCAGCAGGTATGTGATGAAAGAGAGTGTGTTAGTGATGATCTCATGGCCAGCGATGAGGAAGATGAAGGCTTGGCCCACAATTTCATCCGTGGTTAAAGGCTTAGACATGGATGTAGGGTGGCTTCTTTGGGGAGGGTCCACAGTGCGCTTGGTAGAGGACAGGGCTTCTGTGACCATGTCAAAGTCTTCCACACCCACAGAGCTTGTGGAGTGCCGAGCATCCAGCACCATCTGCAGGAAGTCTTTCTGCCTCTGAGGACAAGAGAAGAAAAGGTACATTAGAGCCACAGAATGAGGCTGGAGGACAAGGGAGGAGACTCCTGGCTGGAGCTCCTGAACAACTCAGGAGGAACAGGTTCTTGTCACTGGGTTATTTGAGATGGTGAGAGCCTGGTGACCTCCTGAATGACCCTCAGGACATCAGTGAGGGGCAGACCAATGCACCCGTGAAAAGATGAGGCTATTGCCTTCTTTGCCATTGTACAGACTTACGGAGCAACAGTGTGACAATTTAATGCATGCAATGTGAGATGGTGAGAGCTGTCTTCCATATCTATCATGTGTGCGTTGTGGCGCCCAACGTGGGGCAAGAGTTTCCACCTAAAACCTGAGAAAAAAGATTCTAAAACGGAGCTAAAAACAGTTCCTAATTGT